AGCCGTCTATGCCCTGCTGTCGCTTGCCCCATTCCGCCCAGAGTGAGCCGTGCTTGCATCATGCCCCCTCCCCCCCCAGCTGGGCAAGCAGCAGCAGGACATATCCCCTGCTCGAAGTGCTACCGTGCCTATATCCCATGCCCCCCGCAAGTCCCCTGCCTCCCCGCGCCAGCTGAGCAGCTTGTCCCAGCCCCAACCTCTCCCCTCCCCCCTGTGCCCACCACAACAGACTTACCAGCTGGAGGCAGCTGTGTCCAGTGTGGTGAGGACTGCTGCCTGTTTGGCCTATGGCCAAATCTCTGAAGCAGAGCCAAATCTTTTAATTGGTCTCCAGATTCAATTGGTCTATCAGATTTGGAGATTCAGTTGCTGAATCAGGCCAAATCTCCTCCAAATCAAATCGGCTACCAAAGCTTCACACAGTCCTAGTGACCCAGCCCAAATTTAGTTTATCCAGAACAGTGCTGGTCAACCTTTTTGGCAGGCATGACACAAATAAGCCCGGCACACTCCTTAAGTGCCATTCTGATCCCCTTCCTCTGCTGGATCTGCTGCTTTGCTTTCTGCTCCCAGCTTTGTGCTCCTTGCCTGATCTGCTGTTCTGTTTTCTGCTTCCTTCCCTGTACTCCCTGCTAGATTTGCTTTCTGTTCCATGCTGTATCTGTTATGATACTGCCTGTTCCCTTCCTGATAAACTGTGTGCCACACACAAAGTCTGCATCTTTATCTCTGTCCCAAATCTTGGAGTGATGCAGGTGACCAAAATTGCTGCAATTTTACTTCTTTCAGTTGGAAGGAAGAGAGAAAAAGATACAATTACCTTCCTAACTAATCCATTTGCTAAAGTAACAAGAACTTGAAGTCCTTTTGTGGTTTGGGCTAGAGGTCTCTCAGGCTAGGGACAGAAATTATACATAAACTGGTTTAAGTGGTCAGAAACTGGTTTGAACCTGTAACAGAAAAGGCATTCTGTGTACATAAACCAGTTTGAAAATGGCTGAAACCAGTTTGAGATAAACCTGGTTGAATGTAGTATCAGACTTAACTGATGTGGGTCAAACTTGTTTATGCAATGTCTGTCCCAGACCCCTTCCTGTTTAAATTAAGCCAGAGTCCCCCAGCATCCCAGATGCTTTGCAGCCCTGGGTGGGGCTCTCAGCTCCACAGCAGAGATGGCTCCACCCTCTGCTCCCTGGCAGGAGCTCCGGCAGAGACTTGCAGGCACAGCAGCATCTTCTTGGCTTCCCCCTGCCCCATCCTTCCCTGTCACCACTTGTTGCTCAAGCAGGGATCCCTCCCTCCTCTCTCCCATAGCATCAACCATAGTCAGCAAGTGGTATGCTAGCTAATGCTGAGAGGTTTCTGAGTAAGGCAGGCAGGACAAGGGCAGGCAGGACAGTGTCGACTTAGGGCTTTTTGGAACTAATCAACAGGTAGCTGGTAAAGTCCCTCTGTTTCTTCCTTGAAAAAAGTTGTTTAAGAGGAGCTTGAATTTATGAGAGAGGCTTTTGTTTTGCTGATGGACTGATAAATGCCGTGTAACTCCGGGGTGTGTAAGTAAATGCTGTGTTACTCTCTGCTGGCTCCCTCACTGGTCAAAGGAGCAGCAAGGGAGGGGGACATCTCCCTAATCAGAACGTCCTGCCGGGGCCTGGCCACACCCCCAGTCAGCTCAGCTCTGTAGAAGGGAAGGGAGGGCTGCTATAGCACCCCTGGCTTCTAGTCTGAGCCATTGCATGCGTGTGCTTGCATTTTCACAGTATGGAGGGGAAGTCTGTGAGGTTACAAACCAGTTCAGTCTAGCCAGGTTAGACTAACCTGCAAAGATTGAATCAATTCAGGCTCAGGCTTTTTGAATGTTTGTCCCTAGCCTGAACGGAAAAAGATTCCTGTTACTGTGCTACCAGAAAATAAGGTCTGCAGTGAAGAACAGAAATTGTTTCTCAGCCTGATAGCAGGATCCTTTCCTTTGTCAGACTGAGAGATTTCTCTGGAAGGGTACAATTAAATAGGAGTTAAACTGCAGCCTACATACACTGTCTAAAATACTCAGATGATTATTAGTTAGCTAGGAAAGAACTGAACTCTACTTGGACAGACAAACTTTTTCTCAGAAGAGTTCCAGCCCAATCAAAGGAGGTTTAGATAAACTTAGAAAAATCTTAGATTCACACATTTCACAGGTTAAATTTAGCATTACTCAAAGGCTGAAGTTCTTGAACGTCATCTATTGCTAGATTGATATGGTTTCAATAGTCTATTTTGAAAATAGAAATTTGTGCTAAATCAGTGAATGTACAGAAGAAGAAAACTGAATTGTCATCTGATAACTTGTGTAAACAGGAGAGCTATCTTAACTATGTAGGCCACTTTAGCTTCTACCCTACAAAGGCAGTGAAAAGGGCAAGATTCTCAGCTTGTAGAAATTCTCTTAATTGAATTAAATGAAGCAATAATGATTTAAATCAGCAGAGGATCTATCCTAAAATAGCTAAAACAAAGACACATGTAATAGAACACATTGGGGTGGCATAGGAAAGTAATTTTCTTCCTGTTGGTGACAGTGAAAAGCATGCATGGAATGCCTGTGGTAGGTTTGGCTGCCTATTTATCATTGAGACAGAAGCAAATGTTTTAATGTAAGAACTTTATATATTCAAGTGATGAGGACCAGATAGTTCTCAACAGGCTTTCAAGATGAAGGCTTTAAAATGTATTAAAGGAATACTATGACAGCAGAGGACTGGGTTAGATTATATAGGAAGTCCTTTCCAGTACTATATTTTCTAGTCCTGTAGGGGTTAGTGCTTGAGGGAAAAAAAAAGCTAGAGAATTATTTTCAGTTGGCATTTGTGGTGGTTAGTGCTGGTGATTATGGTCGTTGTTGATTGCTGTATGCACAGGCTGAACAGATTGTAACATTTCTACAAACTATCTAACATTCCAAAAAAGAAACAGCCATAATTAGCTACTTATGTGCTTTAATTCTTCTTGGAGTCCTCTGTCCAGTATGTAATTTGCCCCTCTGAAATAATATTTAATTGTTAAACAACAGACCAAAATCATTGCAGCTGTCATTTTCCTGATTCATGTGCTAATGTAATAGTTCGTCTTTAATATTTAACATCATTCAACATAGACAATGTATTGAAATAAATCTTGTTTGGAAGAAGACATAAATAGGAGATACATTAGTCTTCAATCTAATTAAATATGACTGAACATTAACTCTCCATTGTTTATGAAAGTGAAAATGCTACAACAATAACTATGTGTAGTTCTAAGCTTGTTAATTGTAATTGGTATAAGAACTAGAAAGACTATGGGGACAGATTATGTAGCAAATGAATTGTTACTTGTGAGGATTAAGATAGATATGGCCAAATGCTGTATGTTATGGTTTAAGGGTGTGTGTGAACATACAACATATGTTCACAGATATATGTACACACTTTCCAGCTACATTTACTTGGAGGTCCTTCTGAGAAACTCCACATACTTTAGGTTAATAGGGTATTTCAAGGGGTAGCCATCATTGAATACTGAAAAACAATACTCTGGGATACGTCTTTTAGGAGACTGTACTTTGGAAAGCCCAAAGAGAAGAAAAATATGCGTAGATTATGCAGAATGATTGGAATAGTAATGAGTACCATAAACACCTCTATACATAATCAAACAATTGGTTCCTGGGAGAAAGTGACAATTTCAGTTTCTCTTTAGCCTTATTAGAATCCATAAGCATGCAATAAGTGCTGATGAATTAGTTGTTAGTGATTCAATGTTTTCTGCACAGGGTGTAACTGGTCCAAAAGGTATTGCAGGGATTCCTGGTAGACCTGGTTTTCCTGGTCCCTCTGGAGCTGCTGTAAGTAGATTTTAACATGATCCACCATCCATTGAAGGTGTTGAATCTTTACTTGAATGGATGCTGGATTCAGACCCTAATTTTAATTGTCAAGTAGTGTATATACAGGTAACAATCTTCATTTTTCCCTCTCCTCCTCTTTTCAGGGTCATGTAGGGCTGCCAGGACCTCATGGATTGAAGGTACGTTAAGATGTTTTGTCATTAAGGCTAATACAAGCATTTGGAGGTATTAGGGGGAGGTTAAATTGATTTAAAATGACTGCTGAAATAAGGTAAATCAGGATGGGATGGCCTAGCTAGGGGACTGAAGGTCCAGCAGGCTGGAGGGGATCAGGAGTCCATTGGGAAATGCGGGGAGGTATGACCCATGAGTAGGGTAGAGAGGCAGGCATGACCCCTGGGTAGAGTTTAAATTGGGTGGACATTTGAACCTGATTTTACCTGCCGAACATCTGTATTTAGTCTTGGAAATCTTATTTTAAATGTAAGATTAAACATTTCTGTTTTGATTGTTAAAATTGTAAGGTCGCCTCTGGGCAGATTAGGATTACAGTGAAAGGGAACTATATTTCAATGAGGTAAACAGATGTGGAGTAAAATTAGAAGCTACATGGAAACTTGTAAAAATTCCAGTTTTAAACATGTGTGGGTGTAGCAACAAATGCAACTTGTAAGTATGCAAAACACTGTAGCTTTTTTAAATTTGAAACACATTCTGGTATTGTTGGAAAAGCATGATCTGAATCTGAACATGGAAAAAAGGCTATATTGTAGTATTTAGGAATAGCCTATAGGAAAATGTTGCAATGGTGGTATTGGGATGCATCCTGCTGCAAGGAGAAAGAAGACCAGGAATTTGGACACTTAGTTGACCAGGAAGGGAATAGAATGTCATTCTAAGTCAAGAATGCCACTTACACCTAGATAGGAATTCTATTTCTGGCTATGCAAGCCTGTGCATATACATAGTGGTCTACATGTGCAGACTGGGAATGTGCACTGGCAATAAAATGAGTTAGAAAGCCTTCCCATCTTTTCTTTCAGTAGACGAATGGTTAGTGTGCTTACCTGGGAAACTAGAGGACTTGGGTTGTTGGTCCCCCTCACCCAAAGGGGCTTTGAAGGTGGATGTTTCTGACTTCCCAGGAGAGCACAGCACTACCATAGCACAAATTAACTGTCCCTCTCTGGCACTCTTTCTGAAGCTGAAGTGGATCCCTTGGGAAGCTACAAGAGGGAAATATGTGGAAGATTTATTGTACCAGGAGGAAGGGAGTGAGCCATAGGGTATGTGGTTCGGTGAAGTGCCTAGCTGGGAAGGAGAACCCTAGGTTCTACCCTGAGCTCTTGTCCTGGTGAAGTGGACTCTTCCCTCTGCCAACCTTCCTTCTTTTTCTAATGATTAGATTAAATGCCAGGGATACTGGCCCAGCTTCAGAAAGAGTGCCAGAGAAAGTACAAAGAATGATGGCTGACCTGGGGTAGTGATTTGCATGCTATGCTGAGAAGTTAGAGAGATGCAGGTACAAATCCTGTTCTGGAAGGAGTGGGGAGAGGGCCAGAATCCAGGAGGGAAGCCATTCTCATTTTTAAGTCCGGAAGTCACGGGTTTTGACTGACTAGTTTTCAGGCATCTAGAGCAGGGGTGGGCAAAATGCGATCCAGGGGCCGGATGTGGCCTGCCAGGCCATTCTATCTGGCCTGCGGGGCCCCTAAAAATTTTAGAAAATTAATATTAATCTGCCCTGGGCTGCCTGTCATGTAGCCCTCGATGGCTTGCCATAACTCAGTAAGTGTCCCTCCACCCCAAATAATTGCCTGCCCCTGATCTAGAGGCCACTGTGCATCCACAAGGGGTGCATGGGCATGCTTGTCTAAGTATACAGCCAGTAGGCATGTCCAGTCTGTGCATGTGGATGACTACATACTCATCTGGCCTTATATGGCCAGGAATACAATCACTGCCTACATGTAAGTGGCATCTTTGGCACTTAGATGACCAGAAATGCCACATAGATGACCAAATCTAGATACTTGGATGACCAGGAAGGGGACACATCACCTGTAACATTTACTGAAGCACCAGTGTGTGCCTGCTACCACTCTTCTTTGTGAGGTCTAGCATACTTAGGCCCTGCATCATGTCAGTTTTGCTAACTGGTGCATGGAGATGATATATCTGGTGCTCTACAACTTTCTTGTTCGTTCTACCTACTTTGGGGTGTTGTTTGTTCCCTGCAGAGTAGAAGAGTTGCTCCAAGTGGTTGCAATTTATTTTGCTCTTTACATGAAAGTGATGTCTTGCTGAATGGATCTGTAACAGCCAAGCAGAACTTGACACTAAAACTGGCAGATCCATTTATTTAATTCCAATATGATGTTAAAGAGACGTAAAGGTTCTGTTTCTGAAATAGCCTTGATGCTGTGCATATGGAAGATTATATTTACCCCACAGCAAATCTGGTAATTGAATGTGAAACAGTTGCACACAGAACTTGTAAAATGTAAGATTATTTTTGCATGCTTGTGAAAATCTTATTTTAGCAGTGGGTAAAAGTTAGTTGACAACTAGCTCAGAAAAGGAGTAGGGGAAGAGTAGGTACAGCATGTGAGTCAGTGGCTCAAACAGGAAATCTTTGAATAGAACAACATAATGAAGCTTTTAAATGGGGAGAAACTGAGATACAAAGTAGCAAGTCATATTATAAAATTTCCTTTTCAATAAATATTAGATGTTAATTGCCTTAGATTAGCAATAACATTTAGGTTAACTATTTAGGATCTGATTCTGCCACACTTATGCTGAGTAATACGTTTACTCTTAAATAGTTCAGTCCCTGAGATTTTAGTTGGCTGCTTAATCTAGCCTCATGGCTGCTAGTGTTTGTACTGCACTGGAATAGAGAATACACCCAGTAGTGTAACCAAGATGGTGGGGAGGTGACAAGAGCAACAGCTTCACATTCTGACTTGTGAGGGACGTAGGGTGCACAAAAGTAGGTGTCGCTATACTGTTGACTTGGCGGCTACTGCTGCCCTGTGCACCACCACTGCTGAAGGGGGCAAAACTACCCAATTATACCTGTTATCCAAGTCTGGAAAATCTCTCTCTGCCAGCAGACTTCTGGATGTCCTCAGGCAAGTTGCTTCATCATTCTGTGGCTGTTTCTCCATCCATTCAATGGAGATAATGATACTGACCTCCTTTGTAAAGTTGCTGTGAGTTGTACTGACAAAATCCACTGGATAAGAGCTAGGTATCAGAATTTATTGAGATGCTATGCATTATTCCCGGCATGAGGATTAAATAAATGTATCTGAGACAAGTGATATAAAAGATGCTTATCAGCAAAGATCATGATGAAGAAACACAGTTCACAAATGGCATGGTAAGTGGTGAGAGTACTAAGATTTTGATAATATCACAAAAATGTGTATAAGAATTTAATCTTATTGTACCATTCTTAAAAATAAAATGTTAATATATTAGAGTTGTTTTTTTAAGGGGAATGATGGTGTTCCAGGTGCTAAGGGTAAAAAAGGCGAAAAGGTATAGTATTAAATACAAAGCATAATTGAATGAACTGCTCAATTATGCAAACTCTTTGCACTGTTATTTTTAAAAATATTTTCTTCAAACATACTGTTTCCTTGAAGTTCTTAGCAACACAGTAGCTTTGACATTTACTGTCTTTGCAGTATGTGGAATTTTTTACTGGAAAGAAAATAAAGCAAGGCTCTTGTTAGTAAGGCATATTATTTACTGATGTACTTGTTTGCTTTGACTTCTGAGAGATGGAGTATTCAGACTCCCTGAATCAGCATTCATCTGAATACTGAAAATAAAATTCTGTAGATGTTAATTCAAATTAGAAAACAAATTGTGATTCAGAAATGGGAGAAATGTTAGAGTAGGAGGGGCCTCAGGAAGTCATCTAGTGCATCCCTTTGCTCTAGTGCAGAATCAAATATGTGTATGCAAGGGGCCAATCCAGAGCAGGTGAAGTGGCATGGTTGTACCCCCCTCCCCACTTGGATCATGGTGATCCCTTTTGGATCATAGGAGCAGCAGCCTGGTGTCTTTAAGTCTGAGAAGGAGGTAAAAATCCCCTTCCACCCCCTGCTCTCATGCCTTTCCTTGCCCTCCATGAACAGGGCACCTACCTCCTGTTCCCATCTACCTTGCCTATCACTATTTCTGGCTGACCCAGGGGCAGGGGGAGCTCTAGAGCTGCTGCTGCCCTGCTCCAGCTGGGCTATGCAGGAGCGGTGCAGCAGGGACAGCAGCAGGAGGCAGGTCCCTGTTCCCTACCCCTTGCCCCACTGGTGTTCCCCAACAGCTCAGGAACAGGGACAGAAAGAGGACATAGCTCCC